GTTGTCAGTATCAAAGTCACCTGCATTTTTCAAGAGGAGTTTCAGTGAAGTGGTGTGGAATGAAAGTCTGATTGGAGTCAGTTTATGAGAATAGGAGAAGAGGAATTGGGGGAAATGAGTGTAGAAGATGCTTTCAAGGAGTTTGCTGCAAAGGGATGTAAATGAGTGACTATAGCATTTTCTGCCCCTCTGGCTACCTGCAGCAGGGATCCCCTCACGTTTTATGAAAGCATAGTTTATGTATAACGTTTCAGGCCTGCCTTATTTCTAAGAGGTAGATATGTGCTATCAGCATAAAAATATGAAGCTATATGAGATCATCAAATTCATTTCAGTTGCTTTTCTACCCAGTAAGCAAAACTTCTACAATATTAATACAATGAACACTAGAAAAGTGCTTCAAGTGTTACCTAGGTATCTAGACATGAACAAGGTGTAGTTTATACTCTTGAGAAACAAACATTTTTAGTGGGAGAAGACAAGAATGCGTGTTTACTGTGTAAGTATGATGACGGGGGCGTGTACAAAATGTGATAAAAGCACAGGGGAGATAGAATTAAGTTGACCAGGGCTAGTTAGAAAAGATGACATACATAAAAGACCTGACCTCTGAACTTGGTCTTAAGGATAATCATAAAATTTTCCAGCCCATGTACTGGGGAAAAGCCCTCTGTTAGATAATAATGCAGCTCTTATTAGAATGCTTACAGTGACAGAGAGCTCACTACCTTATGAGACACATTCCATTTTAAGAACCTGTAATTTTTACAAATGCATTTCTCCTATTGAGCCCAATAATGCCTTTTAATACTTCTACTCATTGTTGCCAGTTCTCTTCTCCTCTGAATTTAATGGGCAAAGATTTGTCTTTCTACCAAATAAGTCATTTCAGTATTTGAAAATAGATATGTTCTGTTTGAAGCAATTTCGTTTCAATATTGAAAAAGGGAAAATGGATAGAGTCAAATTCCCACAGAAGCAAACTCTGAGTCTGAGGTTAGAGTGCAACGGGCATATTAGGGGGTGCTCTTGAGATAAACACTATGAGCGGAAAGGGAAGATTGGATAAGACTGCTCACAAGAAGTACAGGTGTGATGCAGTATTAGTGGAAGCCCCAGAAATCCTGTGGGGGATTTCTGAAGATAAACTGACCCATTGGAGTTGTCCAGAGTTAGGGCAAGAAGTCTTTATACCCATGTCAGCCAGTCATTCTGTGCCATTTGCCCCAGGAAAGGGACATGGCTTTTGAGAAGTGGGCTTTTTCAGCTGAGGCAGTACCCAAAGGGATTGAGTGGGAGCCTATTGCTAGGGGCACTGCCAGACACTGGGGCACTTAATCCTTTATTTATGAGGTGGATCGATAAGGGATCCAGATGATGCAGAAGAGGAATCTTACATACTGCTAATTTTTTAGGCAGTTATTTTCTGAGGCGGATAATAAGATGAAAAGCACTTCTTTTTGCTTCTTATTAGCAAATAAACACCACAAACATCTAAGTGATGGCGATCCCACATTATGGTTCTAGACTGTTAGGGTCTAGTGTATAATTCTACCTTCCCTGTATTGCTTATTCATCTCTGTTAGGAAGGCCCTTTATGCAGGAATGTGTTAAAGATGCTCTTGAGGTGAGTTGAAGAACTACATTCAGGTAATAAATTTGATGGGGATTCTTCACTAGGAGGTAACCGCTCCAAGGACCCCTGCATGTCGACATTTTATAATGACATTAGAGATAAAAATGTAAGTGGGGAAGCATAGTGAGCTGCAAACAGAATTATATCTCTGTCCTTCATCCTCGATGACTTGTGGTAATCACACTGCATGCTGGGTGCCTGCAAAGATGGATGTGTGGCCACCAGTCCTTTCCACTCTATGCACACATGAAGATTGCCCTTTGATTTGTGGCTATGGCCATAATTTGCAAAGCCTGCCACCATTTGCAACTTATAGCTAGCCCAGAGTTTCACTGAAAAAGGGCTGTCCCATTCCTGATCACTGTATACCAGATTGATGTGTCAACTAAATGAATAATCCTGAACTACTCATTATACCAGGAAACATTGGCCCAAGCTACTATTCTGTTTCTTGACTTCTGTTTGGCTTCATTAGCCTCCTTTGGATGTGAGATAAAATGGTCACCTAAAGCATTCTTATTTATTAAAGGATTGGCAAAATAAAATGGCTGCACTGGGCATTGATGGGGGCAGAGGAGTCAGGAAAAGGATCAGATTGTGGAGGACAATAGAACTGGAAGGTAACATAAGGATGTGGTGGGGGATGATGGAACCATATCAATTTTTCTCTTTTCTCACTCTCACTGTGCATTGGCTTCCTTCACACAGTAGCTGGCAGTGTCCTTACAAGCCATTTGCAATTGGGGGAGATAGAGTATCAAGAGAGGGGAGGCCAAGCTAGTATTTAATAGATTGGTTTTCTTTTACATTAGATCTCATTAACATGAGCTTATTGACTATCGAACCCCATGACTTTGGTATCTCTTGCTGTGCATTTGAGCCAGCTGTGGTTTCATAGCTCATGAACTTTGCATGTATTCAAGAACCTTCTTGTGATAGGATCTGTTCATTTATCACAGAATAGGTAGACCTGCTTTGTTTGCTGCTGGGATCCCTTTCATCCCAAGCTTGTACATCTTAAAGCATATTAGACAGTTTCTTCCCTTTGCTATAACCACTGGGCTTGTGGAAGCTCATGTGATCATATTTCTTATTTGGGAATCCCCTCATTTTTCTTTAGCTGGAAGCATGACAGGAAAACCAATGGGTATCTCTTTAAAGTGACAGCTATTCTAGGGGAGTTGCCTGCCACTGGACTTCCTTTCCTGTCGTGGTCCTCTATAGGCCACTGATAATTCTTGGAATAAAGTTCTGTTGTCCCAGATTTCCACTTGTCTTAGTCCTTTCAGGCTACTTGTAAACTGGGTAGCTTGTAAAGAACAGAAATTTATTTCTTATGGTTCTGCAGTCTGAGGAGTTCAAGATGAAGGTACCAGTAGATTTGGTGCCTGCTGAGGGCTCATGCTGTGACTCATAGAGAGCGCCTTCTTGCTCTGTCCTCATAAGGAGGAAGGAACAAGGCAGCTCTCTGGGGCGTCTTTAATAAGGGCACAATTTCATTTATGAAGGCCTCACTCTCATGATCTAATCACCTCCCCAGAGGCCTCATCTCTTCATACCATCAGATAGCATCACCTTGGGAGTTAGGATTTCAACATACGAATTTGGGCAGGACACAGACACTCTGACCCCAGCCCCACTGTATTTTATAACCTAACGACAAGGTCAGCTTTGCCTACTCACCCGTTCTTGGTACCTTACCCTCCCTGCTTTTCTGAATTGCATGGTTCTGTGCAACTCCTCTTCAACTGTATCTTCAATTCTAGAAAAGAGAGCCCTGTTGAGCACCATTTCACCCTTAGCAGGAAAAATTACTCCTATATGGCCAGGCATCCAGGGTTTCATTCTGGGTAGCCTATGGAAAATGTGAAAAGTTCAAGCTGTGAGAACAAACATCCCAGGCAGTGCCAGGGGGCTGGCAGCTCTCATTGCCGAATCAGGATTTCTGGATACCAGCTGAGTATTTCCCAGTCTGTGTTTTTTTCAATAAGGGGTGCCGAAGAAATACTCAACAATTTCTCAGCTGCGCAACAATATATTCCTGAACCAAGAAACGACTATGTAATTTTGTTTAAAAGCCCAGGTCTCTTGTAACTGTACTTTGAAGCTCTTACTGGGGGATAAGAAGGAACTGCCCCTTAGAAAAAGACACTGTTTTGTTAGCCTGGATTGTTATAAAATGGAGGTAAGCCATGGGATAGAAGATAGGGAGCACAGAGCAAGAAAAGAGATACCATTACCCAGGAGGAAGTCAGGGGAGATAGTCAAGAGAGGAGGAGAAGGCTGAGAGGGTGTTCATTTCGTGGTTTCAGATTCATCTAGCTAAAGGTAGAGATAAAATGCAGGGATTGACATCTCTGAACAGCAGGTGAAACACAGCTTAAAATGGGAGACATTTAAAATGGCTTCTTCCTGGAAAGGAAGGAGGAATCACAAGATGCTCAGAATTGACAGATGGGTGTGTGTGTGCAATACCCAGATCAGACCGAGACCTGTGGTGTCCTGTAGGTCAGAGAGAGAGCATGTTTTCTACATGTCTGCATTAAAGCTTAATCAGATATGAGCTCAAATGGCAATAATTTTAACTTGCAGCTTAAACGTATTGTTTGAGCCTTATTCAATTCTGCATATCTTATTATCAGAGCAGAAGTTAGACAGCAAACTAAATGTGCTATTAATTTAACATTTATATGTTTATAGAATATATACTGATTGAATTTCACACTATACATACTTATTCCTGATACCTGCACCTGAGTACCATTCACCTTCTGGACCACTGAGCTTATCTCACCTCTCTAGATAGGTTTATGTGTAGATCAATGACATTTTTTGACTATTCACTCTGTGACCAAGTGATACACATTCACTAGCAAGAAATCCAAATCCTTGAAAAATTGAAAGTATGTATGTGTGTGTATATGTATGCATTAGCATGTGCATATGTGTTTAACTCATTTAACAGCAAAACCTGACCTGAACTGACATGAGGTCGTTTAGAGCCTTTATTTTATATTATGTGACTCTTCATACGTTATGCTGTAGAAACATAACATATTTGATTTTGGGGAGCTTCCCTAGGATCTGGTAGTAGCCCCAAGGATTTTAGACAAGGCAAGTATAGTATGGACCTAGATCGATTTTTCTGTGAAGTCTAGGAGATAATTTTAGGAAGAAAGGTATTACAAATGTTTGCAACTTAAATATTTAAAAATATTTATTATAAATACAGATTTTTAAAGCCATTTAATAAAAATAAGTAATGAACACAAATCTTTGTACCAACGTGGTTCAGAATCTCCATTTACCATCTTTGGTTTGATTTTTGTCTTTCTCTCTTTTTTTTGTCCTGTTCTTTTTCTAGGATGAATCCTCCATGTTCTTCCAGTTTGGCCCATCTATTGAACAGCAAGCTTCCGTAATGCTCAACATCATGGAAGAATATGACTGGTACATCTTTTCTATTGTCACCACCTATTTCCCTGGCTACCAGGACTTTGTAAACAAGATCCGCAGCACCATTGAGAATAGCTTTGTGGGCTGGGAGCTAGAGGAAGTCCTCCTACTGGACATGTCCCTGGATGATGGAGATTCTAAGATCCAGAATCAGCTCAAGAAACTTCAAAGCCCCATCATTCTTCTTTACTGTACCAAGGAAGAAGCCACCTACATCTTTGAAGTGGCTAACTCAGTAGGGCTAACTGGCTACGGCTACACATGGATCGTTCCCAGTCTGGTGGCAGGGGATACGGACACAGTGCCTGCGGAGTTCCCCACTGGGCTCATCTCTGTATCATATGATGAATGGGACTATGGCCTCCCCGCCAGAGTGAGAGATGGAATTGCCATAATCACCACTGCTGCTTCTGACATGCTGTCCGAGCACAGCTTCATCCCTGAGCCCAAAAGCAGTTGTTACAACACCCATGAGAAGAGAATCTACCAGTCCAATATGCTAAATAGGTGAGTGTGGAGCAGAGGGCACATTGATGGTGGAGATCAGAGGGGAGCTTCAAACACTGGGGTTGAAAGTTCAGAAACCGCAGGAAGGAGAGTTCAAGAAGGCAGCAGGTTGAAGCCAGGCCTTAGGCATGGCAGTTGGTCGTGATGGGAGTAGTGTTTTGGATGCAACCTTGCCAAAACAACTTTCACTTATTGAGCACTTACTGTGTGTTAGGTGTTTAAGTGTGTGCATGTTTGGCTTCATTTAATCCTCAAAACAACTCTGTAAGTCGGGTTTTAACAATTGTTTCTATTTTGCAATACAAGAGAATAGGCTTGGAGGCATAGATTATCCAAAGTCATGGGGCAAGTGAGCGGTCAGTTTGGAGTTGAACCTAGGCCTCTCTCATCCCTGAGTACTACTTGATCACTAGGTAGGATGCAGGAGATTTAGCAATAAGGGAGGACCAGTCCAGTTACCTTTGGAATGTTGCTATATTGTAGAGAAAGTGAAGAACAGGTTATGCAGGACCTGTAGGCATGTAAAGGATATTCTTTCCTTAAAGAAACAGTCTTGGTTTTTGTCTCTCTTGCTTCTCAGCCTCTGCCTTTAAGGGTGAGACTGCTGCTATAGAGGTGGATTTTATGGTTGCTCTTAGTCTGGTTTGTTGAGCAAGACCTCATCTTGCATACTCAGCCATGACTGCAGCGTATCCCCCGTGGGGTATTAAATGACTCTGTGGGGTAGAAGATTCTATACTATACTTTCATGGTTTTATTTTGTGTGTAAAACTTGTATGTATATACATTATAAAAATTCAAACTAAGTAGAACACAAAGAAGTGTGTTTTAAAAATAAAAATCGGCCGGGCGCAGTGGCTCAAGCCTGGAATCCCAGCACTTTGGGAGGCCAAGGCGGGTGGATCATGAGGTCAAGAGATCGAGACCATCCTGGTCAACATGGTGAAACCCCGTCTCTACTAAAAAAAAATACAAAAAAATTAGCTGGGCATGGTGGCGCGTGCCTGTAATCCCAGCTACTCAGGAGGCTGAGGCAGGAGAATTGCCTGAACCCAGGAGGCGGAGGTTGCGGTGAGCCGAGATTGCGCCATTGCACTCCAGCCTGGGTAACAAGAGCAAAACTCCGTCTCAAAAATAAATAAATAAAAAAAAATAAAAATAAAAATAAAAATGATCTTAAATCCAACTAATTGGAAATAATCATTATGGAAATGATTAGTGAACATCTTTCTAGATATCTCTCTGTGCGTGTGCATTTATATGGATATAAATCTACAGTTTTACATATAGGGAAATATAAGAATATTTGCTGTTCAATAGCTTGATTTCTTTCACTCAACAGTGTTTTGGACATCCATTTGAAATTATTTTTAATTGTATCAAGATGTACAGAAAGGTATTCAGAAAAACTATATGCAGACTCAAGTATTCAATACCTGAGTATTGAATCTCACTTAGTAAATAAAATATTAAAAGGTGTACTTGGGATGTTAAAAGAACATAGAGTGGAGGTTGAATGGGTAACTTCTGGAAGGGAGCTGGGCTGCAGTCGGTAGAGTAGGGCTTGAGTTCAGGGGTGAAACTCAAACCAGGTTCACAGTAGTTATATTTGTGATCCAATTTTGATATTATTCTACCTTCAACTCTCTAGACATTGCTCTTTCCATCATCCCTAGGTATTGCCCCTTGCTTGGTGCAGATTACCTTGGTTTTCCTTCTACGTCTCTGGTTTCCTTCTATTCCAGCTCCATCTGGGGCTCCTTAGCACACTCCTGCTCTATGTATCTCTTAAATATGGGCACTTCTTGAGGTTCTGTCCTAGACCCTCTTCCTTTCTCATCCATTCCCAAGGATACAATTAATGTCCGTATATTTTCCAAAGTGACATCTCTGACTGGAACCTCTCCCTTGAGCCCTAAATTTGTATCCTTAGCTGTGGCCAGATATGTTTCTTTGGGTTTCATGGGCACTTTGAACTCACAGTGTTCAAAGCTGAACTCTTTTCCCACCCTCTCCTAGCCAAATCTTCATTGTCCGTAAATTATGTATCCTATTACAAAGTTACCTAAAATAAAAATTTCCAAGATACCCTTGGTTCCATATCCCTGACACCTCATGGTCAATCATACTGTTTGCCCTGGATTTTAGTCCCTCCCGACCCATACCTCTGGAATACTGTTCTTGTTTTCATCTCCCCTACAACATCCCAGCCTATTTTTTCTTACGTTAATTACCGCAGGGCTGCTTACATGATCTTTCTCCTTGCAGTTCTGCTGCTTTTCAATCTACGTTGCAGCCAGAGTGATCAAAACTAAAAATGTCATTTCATCATTCTCTTGCATAATACCGTTAGGGGCTTTTCATTGCCCTATAATGAGGTCCAGTCTCCTTAATATGGTTTATAAAGTCTTCAGCCTCATGGGCCCTGCCTGTGTTTCCAAAATTCTCTCTGCCTTGCAGACTGCCTTCCTGCAACACTGAACTTAGTTTAGTTCTTTGAAAACACCATGCTCTCTCTTGCTTCCAGCTCTTCCACTGTCTGCCTTAAACTTACTCTCTAGTGTGCCCCTTCCCACCAAACACATGTGCTGATGTGCCTTTATCTGCCTCATGCTCTTCATTCCCCAGATGCCTGAGGCTTCAGTTTGGGCATCGCTTCTGCTACGAAGTCTTTCCCGAGGCTTGGACTAACATCACTGCATTATATGCCTTCACTGCATCTTGTACTTTTCTGATAAAGCCACTCTTCAAACTGTGGCAATTGCATGCTGTGTTATCTCCCTTCCCTGTGAGCTCTGTGGGAGTAGTGACCTTCCCATTGCACTCATTTCTCCAACCCCATTTCCCACACAATACATGGCACAGAGAAGTGAATGGTGCCCTCCAAGACTCAGGGCACATCTGCTCTGCAGGAGCCTTCCTGTTCTGCTGTCTTTACAAGACAATAAAGATTCTGTTGAAAAATGTGCTGTTGATTCAGTTCTGTAGATTTGGTTTTCCTCTCACTGTTTTTAGTATTAAATTCAAATCTGATTCAGATTATTTTCCCAAATGTTTGCTAATTAAAACCAAAGCTAAGAATTAAGAACTACTGAGGCTAAACCATCTGCCCAACAACACGAAGAAATCAAGTGAATGTTACCTTAAAGTTCATAAATGTGGTCCAGGAATGCTTGCTTTTAACTTAAAACTTCTGCTGGGTAAACACCGATCTGCAGATATTATTATTTCCTGCTTAGCTTATGTTACATTACAATGTAAATGTCATCTCTGAAGCCTGGTCTCTCACCACATATCTCTGAGATCACAATTGGTTTAAACTTTTGTTGTCATCTCTCTGAGGCCTGAGATGCTCCCGTCTGGCCACCCAGGAAGGTGGCCCTACTCAGTCCAAGAGCTTATTGTCAAGATGGCCACAGAGGCCCACATCCATCTTCTCCAGTGTAGCAGTCCTGCAGGGAACAAGGATTACACAGTGTAGATTATTTATCAATTCCGCAGGCACCAGTGTAGAGCAGAGAGATTGAGAGAGAGAAAGGGAGTCCAGCTTCACTTGATTTCCCAAATGTACTGCTTAAGAAGTGTCTTCAAATTTACCTACCTACTTCTCCACTAAGGCATTTCCTCTGCATACTGCCCCAGTTCCCTGCCTTTTCTTGGGTTCTGCATCTGTCTGCCTGCTGGACATCTCCCCTGTCCATATACCTGCATCCTTCCCCTGTCTCCATTGTCTTTCTTTTCCTTCCTCTCCATCCAAATACAGCTTCTTCTAGTTCTTGACTCTAATCCTTGCCTGTTTTGAGAATATTTTAATATAGTTTCCTATCGGGACCCAGAAAGGATTGGGGTTGACTAACACGGTTTGTAGAGTTAGCCCCAAATCTGCAGTTTTATCGCCAGGCACAGCACACTCAAAAGCAGCAGTGGAATTCAATTAGGCACATTCAGTTCAAGCTCCTCCTACTGACCCTGGTCTGAAATCAGACTCTCCACCGGCTTCAGAGCTCTGGTCTCACTAGGGTCACTCTTTTAAATAACAAACCAAGCAGCCACACCATTTAGCCACAGCAGGAAATCTTTGCAAATAAAATTGCTGCAAATGGCTGGTTGTTTTATAAGGATGACTTTTCCTTTGGCCTGCTGCTTTCCTCTCAGCAACTGCAGTAAGGAGGAAGGCTCTCTGGGAGCTTCCTGGGAGTGGCCCAGCCCCAGGATGACACTAGGGATGTAGAGTTAGGAAAGTGGCTTCTCCTCTCACTTTCTGAAAAGGCAGTACCATTCATAGCCCCTTTCCTCCCTAGAAGCGTTGTAGGGGGAGGTACAGCTCTTGTTCACACCTCTCCAGATTGTGGCTTTCTTTCTATGTGGGGGAAGTTCTTAAGTCTAGACTTTGGGGTTGGAGAGAAGAGGTTATATGATATGCCTCAAGCCCAAAGAGAGACACATATTTAAAGTAATTCACTTGTCAGTTACCAAAGGAAGAACGTATTTTTATGGCATAAAATCATTCTCAGAGAGGATCCTTAAATATACTATTTCAGTTCACTATCAAATGAACATTATTTATCAGGTGTTAATCCAAATTCCTCACTGATAACTTCTTAACTCCTTGAAGCTTGGCCCTCTATAGACTTAGTGATTATTTCCAGGTAGCATCTGGGTTGCCTGGAGGAGGCATTTTTCTGGGGTTGCAAGAAAAATACCTACGCCCAGTTAAATTTGAATTTCAGATAAATATTGAATAATTTTGTTAGCATAAGTCAATCCTAAATATTGCATGGGACATACTTATATCAAATGAATATTTGTTATTTACCTGAAATTCAGATTTCATAGGGCCCTTGTATTTTTATTTGCTAAATCTGGCAACCTTACTTTGTAAACTAATAAAAATTAATTTTCTGTTGGAACTTCATAGCATTCATTTGTAACTTATTAATATAGTATGATGCCCTATACTATGGCCCAAGACATGCTAAGCAAGTTTTCTTCCAGCTGAG